TTTCTCTCGGTTCCATCAACTTCACATGAGTAGCTGATGGAAACATGAGAGAATCTTCTTAGTGGCTGCACCTAAACGCAGAGGCTGAATCTACTCTGCAGAATTAATATATTGATACCACCTTAACTGCCATGGTCCAATGGTATGGGGTTCAGGAATCTGTAGTTTTGTGAGATTTTTAGCCTTCTCTGTCAGAGAGCTCTGGTGCCACAACAAACTATAAGTTCCAGGATTCCATAGGATGGTACCATGAAATATAAAGTGGTGTCAAACTGCATGAATTCTACAGTGTGGCAGTAGACTGGAGCTCCTTTCCCATGGAGGTTTCCTTGCTATCCTTCTATGAGTAAGCAAATACTTTTTATTTATTCTGACAGGCTTTTAGAATTGCAGGTTTTTAAAGAAAGGGCTTTTAAGAGGGTGATGTATTGTTTCTACACATTTTTGTTAAAAATAACCCTCAACATTTTAAGTGTATGTCTCAAATTGTTTTAATATTGTGAATAGTTTAATTCTATATATTCATTATTTTAAATGGTAATGTCCCAATTTTGAGGAAAAGGGGAGACTATAAATAAAGCTGTTAACAACAGCAGCAGTATCTTATGCATGATAAGCTGAAACAACTTGGTTCTCTCCATGCTAGGAAAGCTTACTAAAATTCATTAATTACTTAATATTCAGGGTGAACGTTAAAAAAAAAAGAATCCTGAAAAAAGCAAACATGACAGGTTTTCTATCTTTGTATGATAGTGCTTATTCTGGCTTGCTTTCTATCCAGCAGTGAGTAAACTCCATCTAGGAAATTCTACTGACAGGAAAGAGTCCTTCTACCAAACCCAACCTTCTTAATAAAGAGCTAGGCCAGACACTAAACTATAATGCAGTTTAAATTGTACAATAAGCAGTTCAAATATTAAAATGAAACAAGGAGAACATTTTCATAACTTGAATGTCCAGGTAAAATAATTTATGATTGTAATTACAGTATAAAGCAATGTCTCAGCAGTTAATTGTTTAAACTCTCTCCTTTCTACGTTCTCTATTTCTTGGGTCTTGGGGGAAATCATTCAAAGAAATGACCCTTCTCTACTTGGCATATTCATCATAGAAAGCTATACATGAATGCTTAGCTTTGTAATGGGAAGAAAATCTCATTTGCAGTGATCTCAAAGATGCATAAGGTCAATACGTGTTCTCGTAACTGGGCTTATATTACCAGCAGCTCAGGTCAGTAATTAATAATCATCACACACTTTTCACTGACAAATCTGAATAATGTTTATGTACATCATTATGAGTCATCTGTTTGCCAGTAGTTTGACAGCCATAGTTTTTATGTTACATATGCTTCATTTTACTTAATCATCCATGAGATATCCTAGGCAATGCCTTACATGACAAAAATGTTACAGATTAAATGTAGGCTATATTTAACAATGGATAGGGTTTCATTTTTCACCACTGATGTCTTTGACACATCACAGAAAGAGTGCATATTTGAACTTAGCTGGCTTGAGTCCCAGTCTTGAGGAAAAGAGGGTGGGTATAAATAAAGATTAACAACAACAAGAACAACAACCAGCTGTTTGTAGCTTCTGTCAATATACAATAACAACCTTTTATATATCAAAATAGGTGTTTCCAAGGTTATTTGTGTACTCTAATGATATTTGCATAGTCTAGTGATGCACTACTTAGCATACTACTTATAACAAAAGAGAATTGCTATGATATATTTTCATAGTTTCATGGAATCTTAGGCTTGAAGGGGCTGCAAGAGCCATCCATTCTCATCTCATTGAAAAATACCAATCCACCCTCTGTTTAAAAACCTCCAAAGGAGGAGAGTCCACTCCACTCTTCCAATCTTGAACAGTTCTTACAGTAAAGAAGTTAGTTTTTCATGGGTTTTTCGGGCTGTGTGGCCATATTCTAGAAGAGTTTCTTTCTGACGTTTCACCAGCATCTGTGGTTGGCATCATCAGCTCAGACATCAGAAGGGCTGCCAGACCCAGAAAAACCCAGAGGAGTGAAGACAAGCAACCACCCAAAGGGAAGGTATTTTTACCATACATTAAAGAAGTCACAGACAGAATAGGGAAAGTGGTGAGGAAACACAACCTCCAAATAGTTTACAAACCGACCAAGAAAATCGAACAAATGCTGCGGTCAGTGAAGGACAGGAGAGACCCTCTCACAGCTGCAGGAGTTTACTGCATACCATGCAGCTGTGGAAAAGTCTACATAGGGACCACCAAACACAGTGTCCAAACACGAATCAAGGAACATGAGAGACTGCAGACTAGGCCAACCAGAAAAATCAGCAGTAGCAGAACACATTATAAACCATCCTGGGCATAAAATGCTGTTTGAAAACACTCAAATTCTGGACCATGCCAACACCTATCAGGTCAGAATGCACAAGGAAGCCATTGAAATCCACAAACACTTGGACAACTTCAACAGGAAAGAGTAAACCTTTAAAATAAACAAAGTTTGGCTACCAGTCCTGCAAAATAGGGAAATCAGCACTCAGCAAATGCAAATAGGAAACCAGCCAGGGTCAGGCGCTTCCCCAGCAGACACTGATCACCAATTAGCATGCAATAATCCTCGTTTGCATATCCTTCTACCTTGAGGCCCTGCCATCAACAACAGAACAATACACATTCAACAACAGGACAATATGCAATTTACATGGGAATCACTCCTCCCTACCCAGGGTCTCACACATATATATATATACCCACTCCCTTCCATTCCAGCATTCTCTGAAGATGCCAGCCACAGATGCTGGTGAAATGTCAGAAAGAAACTCTTCTAGAACATGGCCACACAGCCTGAAAAACCCACAAAAAACTATGGATGCCAAGCATGAAAGCCTACGACTTCACAGTAAAGAAGTTCTTCGTAATCTTCAGGTGAAATCTCTTTTCTTGCAGTTTCAATCAATTGGTTCACATTATTTTCTCCAGAGCACCAGAAAGCAAGCTTGCTCCATCTTCTACATGAAATTGATTTAGATATATAAAGATGGTCAACATCTCACCTCTCAATTTTCTCTTCACCAGGCTAAACACACCTAGCTCCCTAAGTTGTTGTTGTTGTTATATTTATTTGTATTCTGTTCTTTTCCCAGAGCTGGGATGCAGCTCACAATATCAAAAGAACAATACAGTTAAAACATAGAAATGTGGTGCATGAAAATAGAATTAAATTGTTGTAATATTAAAATAGATTGCTTATTAAAAGAATAAATACAGCTAAAAAGATAAAACTGCTAAAAACACTGGTCTTGGTTTTCTTTTCTCAGTTTTTTTAAATGGGAATGAGTGCATGAGAAAAAATAATATTTATTAATATATTTTTTTCCTTTTTCTTTTTTTACTGGGGGGCTTGCCTGCTTCAAAATAGGCAAAATCAAAGAAGTACTTTTTAGTTCAAGTGTTTCTTACTGGTCCTTGTCCTTGTACCTTGTATCAGTAACAAAAAACAAAAAATGGAGTACAATTTTTACTTAGGGCCTAAGCAGACTGCCAGAAATAGTGCACATTAAATTGAGGCACTGCCCTGACTCAGTGCTAGGGAATCATAGGAACTGTAATTTATTGTGGCACCAGAGCTCTCTGACAGAGAAGGCTCAATGTCTCAGAAAAAAATACAATTCTCATGATTCCCTAGCATTGAGCCAGGGCAGTGCCTCAATTTAATGTGCACTATTTCTGGCAGTCTGCTTAGGCTGTTAGACTCTCAATAACAGGACTTTTAATACATCAGATATGATAATTTAATGCCAAAACAAGTTACATAAAAGTCATTTTATGTTCCTAAGATAACTTTCAATATGTAAAGGGTGCTAATATTGCATTTTCCACTTTCCATTAATATATATTTCATTTTCAATTGATATATATATATCAATTTTTATTCTCTCCTATTCACCCACATGACTTCAAAATTTCTGAAACTTTTACATCTCTAGTGGTAACACAGACATCCTGGAATTGTACATGCAGATCTTAATTTGTTGTTAGAATAAAGTAGACCCTTTGAAACAATAGGACTTACCTACTTGATGTTGACTCATCATACCACAATTGATTGAATGGCTCTACTCTAGCTGGGACAAACTGCAGGATGCCAGCCAAAATGCGACAAAAAGCTTTTGTCCTTGTTCAAGCCAGTGAAGTTTCAGTTGTTCTTCTTGATGGTTTCCTGTTCAGCTGTTTCACATTGGAACTTGCCTTTGTGAAGCTCTGCAGTATCTGAGCTGCTGCTTCCCAACAGTAACTTGGATAAGTACAATGTGTTAAAAGTTAAAAAGTTAAAATTACTGCTGAGAAGCAAGGGCAAAGAAATAATACTTGGACCAAGGTACTGTATTAATAAAGTAAGTACATAAAAAGGAGGTTGGATTTAAATGGAGTTGCTCATTTATCTATGTAGGATGGGAGAAAGCTACATTTTATATCAATATGGGAATAAATGAAACTTGCTTCTCTTTCCCACCTAACTGTGCTGCACTCAGATAAAAGCCATCTTGCCCTCCTCAGCCTTTTAATATCAGAGCTGGGATGGAACTGGGGGTGATATGTCCTGTATGTGCTCACCCAAAGAAAAAAGGGATTCAAAATCACTAGGAATAATAAAGCTTAAACAAGAGAGTTGTTACTGTGTGTGCCTTCAAGTCACTTCCAACAGCTTCTGAAGACAAGCCTAGGACCAACTGCCCTTCTCACCACCATCAGAGG